GTAAATATCATCAGCCATAAATCCATCATGAACTTCCTATCCTACTGTCTAAAGGTGGGCAAAGATGACAATATGGAAAACCTTCAGGATATGCCCTTTGTCTGATATCAGAACACACCTGTCCGCTAGAATCGAGCTCCAAAGGGGCATATTTGCTAAACTTGGTTGCTTCTAAAAATCTGTCAATAGTTGAAATTGCAAACAGCTTAATGGGTCCCATCATATCAGTATCTGAGCCTTTTTTGCCTTGGCCCGAGATGGATCCAAAGACTGCTCTTTTCATCTGCCACTAAACCCATCACAATCTAGCTTCTCTTTTACCTGAAGTTCTGTTTTGAAGTTCCTTGCTGAATTGTATTGGTTTCTTTTAACAGCAAACAAGATCGATTAGCCTCACAATTGAGAGCTTTCTGTCATTCTTTGCTGTTGGAAAGGAGGGTAATAGTAATTACGGTTTCTCCATTTAGGTTTCCTGAGCAATTGGAATTCTTATCTATAGACACAAAAAATATGTATTGCAGGGTCAGTAGCAGTTTGTGACTTAGCTAAATTGTAAAGAGTAAACTGAGGTAAGAAAGCATAAGTAAAAACGAATTTCAGCAGAAGGGTAGTCTTCCCTGAGCCATGGAAGAGAAATGGGAGCAGAGCAGTGCTGTGTAGCCAAGCTTTGAAGAGAGAGTAAAGATTTCCTCTGCTTTGGACAGCATAGAGCGTCCTTCCATTAGTGACTTCCTCACTTTTAATCCCTGGCTATGTCACGTTGTTTGACAAAACATATGTTTAAGATTTGACAACAATTTGATTGTAAGTATTTTTGTTAAATCAAGTATTAAATAGGCTGGAGCTTCTTTATTCAAGGGTCTGTGTCAGACCTTCCTGTTGTGGTTGCGATCAACTAAAACCCACCTGTAAAGAGGGAGAAGAATTTTGTGGAAGGTTGTTCTGACTTCAGAATGTGCTTTAATTGTGTGGTGCTCAGAACTTTGAGGTTTTTAAGTTTCTGGGCATGCCACGAACCTGCTGTTTATTCATTTTCAGTGAATCTATCCTGTATAGAGGGAGGGAGAACAGAATTTTAGTCTGTAAAGTGATGTTCAAGCATGAGAAAAGCAACCTTGCACTTACTATGTCCTAACTTCTGTGTTCCTCAGGCTTTTCAAGACAATGCAATAGATTTATATAAGCGATTTGGTAAATAGTTTCACTCCTCTTGAGAGGAGGTTTAAGTGTGCTTGCTTTGCTTAGCATTATAATGAAATAGGAGATGAACCAGGTCAAGGTGACCTGTTCTCTGGTCCAGAGCAGCCTTATCATGTTGTCTTGAGCATAGCTAGAAATAATATCATGCAGCTTACTAAGAAAATATGCCACGCAGCATCTTTAGAATAAAAATATAGCCCTCAAACCAGAACAGTACTTGTGGAGCACTCTCTGATCTTGGATGTGTAAAAAAAACTATCCTTAGATTCCTAATTGGGATTTCAACATGGGAGATTTCACCTGAAAATACCTGCCTCTTTAAGCACTTTACTGCTCTTTGTGAAAGAGTGATTTATAACAAAAATAGCTAGGAACTATTCGTGCTTTCTCTTTTTAACTGATCTCATTTGTGTTCATGAAAACCATGCTACACGGTCATTTTGAAGCTGATGACCAAAGCTTTGTGGTTAGGGTAACCTCTCTGGGTGAGGACAGTGTTCTCAATGACTGTATATACAACACATATGTTTTGGTTTTTGTTCCATGTTTATTGAATGGGTAAAATTATAAAATATTACAAAACTTCCAGTAAAGTTGCAGCCTTGTTTCAAATCAACACCCTAAGTGCTCAGTTGGAGGGCTATGGTTATCTTTAGTACACTTGTGATAGTTTAATTTATTTTAGACATACTCATCTAATAATGAAGGTGGAGGTGGTTATCTTTAGTACACTTGTGATAGTTTAATTTATTTTAGACATATTCATCAATAATGAAGGTGAAAGATTTTGATAAAATAAAACACTGGGCTTGACTCAGTGTTCATTCAAGTCTGCTGATATAATTAAAGTTATTACTGTTATTGTCAGTATACAGCATTGCTACTGTAGTTGCTTTTTCTTTAACTGACGGAAATTCTTCTGATATCCATAAACCATGGTCTTTACTTTTCCAGTTCAGCTGAAAAAACCACAATAACGGTGCCTTAAATATTACTTTCATACACTTACTGGTGTAAGTGAATTTAAGTTCATATACACATAGAATTGAAAATGACTTCTGATTTCTTCCACGGTGCCTTAAATATTACTTTCATACACTTATTGGTGTAAATGAATTTAAGTTCATATACATATAGAATTGAAAGACTTCTGATTTCTTCCGAACAAATGGCAAATGCAACACAAATATATTAGTCATTAGTCACCTGAATAGTCACTTTTCATTACATGAAAATAGTGTTTGAAAAAATGTCTTCTATGAATCTAGCAGTGATCCTTCAGTATGCTCATGGACTCTTAACTCCAGCTATAATTTTTCTGATAGTTGTGGTACATTATCATTAATGGTTACTGCCAGAAAAGTCAGTTACTAACACCTTGTCATTACAGGGCTGTAAGGGACACTGTGCTCCTTTCATCTGCTCAGGTTCTGAGCAGCTATCTCACATCAGCTTGAAGGACTCGGACTTTGAAGCGTGTGATACACCCTTAGATTATTCAGAAGTAATAGGGTGTTTATTACAAACAGCTTCAGGGATTCTCAGATTGGTCAGGCAGGTGAATCTTCCATGCGGATAGGAAAAAGGCCCTTTTGCATCCTTGGTTTAGATCACTGTTAAAATTCAAGTTCTTAAAATCATGGAATATCTACAGTTGTTAAACGTTTCCTAATTGCTTTATGTTGAATCTTGCCAAACTATTTTCATTACCCTCCTCATTGCAGGCTTTGTCTTTACTGAGTCAACCTCCAAAATGTGTTCAGCTCCGGTGGCTGATGTTTGTTTTCAAGGTTTATAACGTTGTCAAAGGATTATAATGAAAACCTTCAGAGCCTTAACATTTGTGCCACGTCTACCTAAAATCCACAAATGTCTAAATATAACAGGCTAAGATTTGAACACTGACGCTAAAGTGCTGGCACTACACTTTGTTTTCTGTTTATCCTTTCATCAGGAAAGCAGATGCAGAACATTTTTGATAGCTTGGATAATGTTGAAGCTGGAACTTTGACAACCATCCTTTCTGACAGCAACTTTTGCTATAAAGGTGCTGATTTTGCATTTAGAAAAACGTGTGGATTTGCCTTCCTTGACTTAATCTAATCTTACTTTCTTTGAGTTAAAATTCTTTGTGCTAAATTATACAGTAAATCTAAACAGGTAGGGGGTAAAGGATTACAAAGTACAAATTCAAAGTTTTTAGTAGAGTGTTTTTACATGGTTGCTCAGGAATGCAAGAGAATTGAGTATGCACATTAGAAGAAAAAACTGCAACTTCATAAAGATAATGAATTCTCAGATTTCAAATAACCTGGTTTAGATTTTTTTTTTCAGATTTTTCACAAAACTGCAACTTCATAAAGATAATGAATTCTCAGATTTCAGATAACCTGGTTTAGATTTTTTTTCCAGATTTTTCATTATAGAAATTAAACAAAACCAAAACAATTTCTCCTCCTTCCCCAAACACTCTTCTTGACCTATCCTTAGTTTCTCTTAGCTTTCAAACTTAGTTTACTCATTCTCTGGGCCTGCTTTCAAAAAATGTCCTTTCAATTTCTTCCAATAGGGAATTCTTTCATCCTCTGTGTGTTTTTTACATATCCTGCTTTTTACCTTTCTTTTTTAAACAAATCTTGTTTTTAACTGCTTCCAAGAATCAAGTGTAACTAGCATACAAATCCCAACATGTTGTTCAACTTGTTCATTATACGTGCAAAATTCTGTTTGTTGTTGGAACGACACCACTACTTCTTCAGGTACTTCAAACTGAGAAGTCCTGACCTTTTTCCACACTAAAATAACCCTAAATATTTTTTAATATGTTAATAATCCTAAATGTATTCTATATATTCCAATAGGGAATTCTTTCATCCTCTGTGTGTTTTTTACATATCCTGCTTTTTACCTTTCTTTTTTAAACAAATCTTGTTTTTAACTGCTTCCAAGAATCAAGTGTAACTAGCATACAAATCCCAACATGTTGTTCAACTTGTTCATTATACGTGCAAAATTCTGTTTGTTGTTGGAACGACACCACTACTTCTTCAGGTACTTCAAACTGAGAAGTCCTGACCTTTTTCCACACTAAAATAACCCTAAATATTTTTTAATATGTAAATAATCCTAAATGTATTCTATATATGATTTCATTGCCAATACAGAAGAAAAAAAAAAAAAATCTAAGCAACCATACCTTCCTGAATTGGTGTGATGCTGAAAAGTTTGTCTAAAATGCTTTTCAATATTGTGTGCAAGGTGTCAAATGATTTCAGTAATCATAAATAAACTGAAAGAAAATGGCACCGCAGGAACAAGACTTGTACAAAGAACACTAAGAGAATGTACCCCAAACTGGGTCCCTTTAGTGTTATTTTAGCCTTCTGCTTGCCTACTTGATTCTCACAAAGTGACCCCCAACTAGATTCACTGGAAAAGCTGTTTTCCAGCTCAGTACTAAATAAAACCACAGTCCTACAAACTTGCACATATTTGACATTTCTTCTAGCATAAAATATTTACAGGCTAATATCAAAAAGCCCAAAGTTAAATTTCAGATTGCTGTGTGTTGTTCTAAAAAAGCTAATATTTTAACTAACAATTAAGGTTAAAAAAAACACCAAATAAAAAAATAAAACATGTGAGACCACCCCCACCACCACCACTTCCAACCAATAAAACCAGTAGCAAGTATAGACGTAATTATGTTGGGAATAAAAATGTTTATGATGTACATCATCACATGAATTAATTGTCTAGTACCTTATACTAAGCTACTGACTTTCTGGAGCTGGCCTAAA